CCTCCTAGTTGTCTATTCTTCTAACATCACACTCTTGTTTACAATGTCTAGTATTTTTAAAAATCGTAAGACAAGTCTTCTTAGACATCAGTTCCTCCATAAGAACTAAATAAACTTAACTGAGTTCCACAGAATTTTTCAGATCTTATAACTGCAAATCCTTAACCATTATCAATAAAGCCTAGTATTAAGAGGCCATATATTGTAGAGTGCAGGCCTAAATATCTGGGTTTTGTAGTATGGGTTCAAATCCATGACCTTCTGTTCAAGTAACCTTGAGGAAGTATCTTAATCTGTTCTATAAGATTAATAGTACAGCTGGCCCTTGAACAATGGAGGTTTGTACAACAAAGGTCCACTTATAGGTATATTTTCTGCTATACACTCGGTTCTCCCAATCTCAACATTTCACATCTGTGGATTCAATCAACCGCAGACAGAATTTTTGATCCAAGGTTGGAAAACCATGGATGCAGGGCACAGACTGTAAGCACCGTTCCAAGCCATCTTATATAATGGACTTGGGCATCTGCAGATTCTGGTATCTGCAAGGGTTCTTGATACCAGTGCCCTGTTAGATACTGAAGGGTAACTATAGACAAGTTCTGGGGAGAGTAGTAAGTTATACAGATTTCCAGCTGCATGGGAGGTTGGTGTTCCTGAGCCCTGCGCTGTTCATGGCTCAACTGTCTATCCTCGAATTAAGTGGATAAAACAAGATAATGCACACAAGGCATTTAATAGTGTCACACACATGGGTGCTACTCAATAAATACTAGTTCTATGTTATAACCCCACTCAAAGCCCATTTAGTAACTGAGAAGGAGGAATACTCCCTGCCAGTGAAGACCTGGGTTTTCAGTAAGAAGTTCAGACTACAAAGGGAAGTGTTGACTTACTGACTTATCTAGGCAAAACTCCTAGCTTAAAAAGCAAGCCTTAGCACAACATGCAAAATGCTTTAACTAGCACATCCTGCAAAATGCAGATCTAGAATATCGATCAGCCTAGATAGAAATGATGGTGGAATAGACTGGAGCAGGCACAAAGCTGAAAACTGACTCTGAAATGAATGGAAGTGGAGAAGAGAAAAAGCTCGGGAGATAAATGGAGTGAGGAAGAAGACTCAAAGGAAAAACTATTTTTTATCGTAACTCACTGATGAGAAAAGTTTATGTTCTAACTAGTATCCGATACAAATAGCATTGTTCATTGTGGTTATGTACCTTTTTCATTTTTTAACAAATGAAAACATTATTTTCAGCAAAATTGAGAACTCCTATCATTTGTACATTCGATACATATTGAGCTCCTGCTACATGCTCAACCCTTTTAAGCACTAGGTATACTGTGGCAAAAACAAAACAAGCATGACTCCTCAACTTATCTAATGAGGGAAAATTATCAAGTCAGTCATAGTTACAAATGAGAAGGAAAAGAAGATCAAATGGTCAACAAATGGAGAAGTAATGAGAATTTTTAGGTCATGTTAAACAGACTGGATTTTACTAAAAAACAACCTAATAATTTTAAGAAAACTGCTGCAGGTTTTATTTTTTTTAAAAAGACCACTTCAACTCTGTAACAACTGGGTGAGTACAATAGTAAAAAAGGGGAATCAATTAGGAAGCCATTATAATGGTACAGGAGATGGATGGCACAGTGGAAGGAGACAAGAAACAGGCCCTACCACATTCCAAGCTATCATATACTACCATCACTTACTTTATACTTACTGAGCTTAATTTACATAACAGTTGTTCTAGAAAACAGTTCTAAATTATTTCAAAGCTATTAAATTAGTATTAAATCTCAAAATATTGAGTCTTTTGTGCTGCCAATTAACACTCAGCAAAGTTTATAATAAAAATGTAAAGCTGAAAATGTAAAGCCACAGGGGAAAAAAATTCTTGGTCATTTCCCAAATTTAAACCACAGTTTTTATATTGTATCTATCTTATCTTGCCTTGTTTTGTAATTACAATACATAAATAATGGTAGATAAAAATAAAAAAAACAACTAAAATTTCCTAATTGGGTATCACAGTAATGACCTACAAAACACCTTTCCCCCCAGGCTTAGGAATGTACTGCACTGCCAGTTTATTTATACCAGGGTCCCCAATATCTTACAATTGCTCTTCTCTAGACATTCATTAAACAAATATTTATCAAATGCCAACTATGCACCACTTTTAAAATAAGGTTTCTTTCTCCATTAAGCAAAGACTAAAGTGGTGGTTGCAATAATCTCCTTAATTGTGGGCATCTGGCTAGAAGGAACCCAAAGCTTCCTAGCGCCATTAATATATTTTTACCAGCCCTGCCATAGTAGCAATGAGAACTGGGAGGGGAAAATGGAACCTAGAAGAAATGGATAATGTGACAAGGGAAGACTCCACAAGTTCCAATATAATGTTTACCTGCAGACAAAATGGGAGTATAAAACTGAGGCTTTCAATATACAAACAATGCCTGCAAAGACTGACTCCATCTTCAGAGTTGACAATATCATAATAATGTCCAGTACAAAGTACAATATACTTGCTGCTCTAAGTTTTACCCTCCATCATTTCGTAACTTTTAAAACACTCCTTGCTCAATTTCCTCACTTATTCTGATAAACACAGCAATTCAAATAAATCTCCAGCGAAATAAACCAGTGTCTACTTGCCGCCTCACTGAGAAATGATGTCCATTCATACTTTAGAAATTACTGACACAATAATAATGATGACCAGAAAATATCTCTTGACCCATGTTTTATTGGCTATATTGCAGCTTTCTGGCAATGAACCAGTCAAGGAGTAAGACAAGGCCTGGATACCATTAGTCAATTAATGCTCAATTATCTTCCTATCATTTCTTATAAATTTCAATTAGTAATTACTTGTTTATTTAGTACTGACCAAAGCCAACACTGTCCATCAAGGCAACTGGTAATAAAATCTGTGTCTTACGGTAAGGCATAATTTCCAGGTGGACACCCTGATGAGCCAAACTTTGCTGTGTAATTATGCTGACTGAGGAGCAATGGCCTCTCTGATAATTTCTGATTTTAGGTAAAGTTCATGTAAGCACAACAGAAAACTCTGAAAGCTTATGGGCTCATTCTAAAGTTCATTCTCAATTCTCTACAGCAGTGGTTCTTTCAGAATAAGCCTTCTATATTACACTGCTGAAAACTAGTTCTCTTCTTGAGAAAATGTATACAAAATGTAGCAAATAATTTCAGTAGATTAAAGTAAAATAACTTGATGCTTATCCAAGGACTCAGGTAAGGAATCCATTATCACTTGTACATCCTCCATGTGAGCAAAGTTAAGAATAGAGTTGTAATAGAAAGGTTTTATGAACAAATCAGAAAAGCAAGTAGCTGGTAGGCACCAGCCAGTGTAGCTCAATTGGTTGGGTGCTGTTGCACAAACTGAAAAGTCGGCAGTTTGTTTCCTGGTCAGGGCACATGCCTGTGTTGCTGGTTTTGTCCCCAGCTGGGTGTACCCAACGCAGCCAATTGATGTTTTTCTCTCATATCACTGTTTCTTTCCCTCTCTTTCTGCCCCTTTCCCTCTCTCTCAAAAAGGAATAAAGAAAAAGTAGCTGGTGGGAAAATTCCAAGTAAAGACACTGACAGCAAAAATGAGAGATAAGATTCACAGCTGTACTCTGAAGCCTTGCTGTGTGTGTGCGCGCGTGTGTGTGTGTGTACACATATGAGTATGTATATATAAGCAGAGTATTCATCGATTCATTTGACAGATAATTATTGGGAACTATGTAGCTAACATAGTTCTGCTCCCTAAGGAAGAATAGAATGGCAATCAATCATCCTGATAAATAATCATAAACAGATTATGGTACCAGAATGCAGGAGATACATTTTATGAGGGTCTACAACAAAGAACCTAGTTTAAAGGTTCACAAAGGCTTCCCTAAAGTAAGAATGAGGCAAAAGGTAACCAGTAAATAAGTTATCTATGCAGAAATTGGGGGGTGGGGGGCCGCATAATATTAATAAAAATCTTCCATACTCAGGGAATCATAAGCAAAGATCCTGAAGTTGCATTATGAAATGAGAAAGATGTCTCTCTTATTAACTGCTTTCTTCCTGGACTGTTACTTATCCTTTGATAAAAATAATAGTATATTCCTTTTAGGGTTGGGACAATTAAATTGCAGAATATATGCAAAGCACTTAGTAAAATGCCTTGGCACACAGTAAGAGCTTGGTAAATACAATATTAGTGATGATGAAAATTATGGTTAAGAGAATCTGTGTTCTAGTAAAATTCTCTGGGCATACTCAACCCCAAAATAAATGTTAGCAGTTCCTACAGCCACCAATTTCAAATTTCTAAGGTAAAATATAAGCAACTTGAATATTTTAATAATTGCTTGCTCTTTATTTTTACTTATATAAATGTGCTACAAAGAGTTCTAAATATGGCATAAATACATGTTATCTTATTCTAAGAACTACAATATACTTTGTCATATATACTGCAGTATACTGATGAATTTTGGAAAATACTTAAGTGTAACAAAATTCTTATAATATAATCACCACAGTTTTGAATAGAATGCCACTCAAAATTGACTGGAGTCCAGTTTGGTCCAGTTCTGGCCCAGTTGGTCCAGAACTATTGAAAAACTGTTCTTTAAAAATTTAAGTTTCTTAAAATTCAGTCTTATTTAACAAGTCTTATTTAACAAGGTGAAGTATAATTCAAAAAGAAAATCCTTACATTTCACTTTGTCTCTGACAAAGCATTATATGACTCCTCGGTAATAAAGAATCTATCCTTTATATAGAAGTCTGTTAATATTCAAAGAAATATGCCTTTTTCAGATATATGCTCTCTCAGATATACCACCTTTGAGTATTGAGCATATTTTCTCTGAAACTTCATCTACATTTCCTGGCCTGAGATTACTCATTAATAGGTACGAATGGAGACAAGGAGATACCTAACCCTTGTACTACAAAAATGCAACATTACCTGGAAAACTAGTTTTCATTATATCAATTCCAACCTGTAGCTCAGGTTCAGCAGCAAGTACAGCATAGTCCCCTTGATGAGAGATGTTAAAGTTGAAATTGGGGTAAGGATTCAATGAGTCTTTTGCAAGAACTGGTTTTCCTTTTGCAGTTCTTTGCAAACGAATATTATTCCAAGGGATATTCAATTTCTCTGCAATTAATTTCCTTATCATGAGACGACCAGCCTGTTAAATAAATAAGACATAAACAATCAGTATACATACAGGTACTCTGCCTGTAACATACAAAGTCAATTTTTGTGGTTTTTAAAATTTTTTTAAAGTTTTAAAAAGTACATTGCATCAAGATTTAAGCAATGCTTAAGAAAGTAGAAGTTAATCTCTCCTTAGCAATTTCCTCACCTGAACAGGCAACCAATGTTAACAAGTAGGCATCCTTCCAGTCTTTTCTCTAAGTATCTAAATATATGCTCATTTACCTATGATTTTGCTATCTGCATATGAGACCCTATTATATATAGTATTCTATTATGTATAATCTTTTTTAACTTACTGGGGATTATGTCATATCTGTACATAACTGTCCAGTCTGTGCCCTATCAGTTGTAGCATATTATATTTCATAGTATCAAAGAAGTTAAAATGGATTTGCTCTAGTTTTGTTATTACAAAAATTCCCTAGTGAGTAACCTTGTTGTACCTACACCTCTGTGCACACGTGCAAGCATTACTAGGTCCTACACATCAGCGATTTTCAACCCATGTGCTGCCAAGAACTTTTAAAACATGCAATATCTGACTAGTTAGGAGCACTGACCTCTTTTCCCTTAAACTGTCAAATGAAAAAATGACAATAGCAAACACAATAGCTGTCGGTGTGAATGAATCAAAATTATACCTTTTTTTGGTCAGAGCAGCAAAAAACTTTTTGGTGTGAGGTAGACTTTTAGTAATTAGTCTATGTGTACTGAGATGAAAAAGGTTAAAAGTCACTGCTATATACTCATCACTCAGTTTCAACAATTAGCTATGCATGAACTATTTTTTTTTTCACATATTCCCCTTACCCACTCGTTAGCAGCTCCACCTAATAATTAGGAAAGATATTACTAAAATTACACAAAAATAACCAAAAATACTCATGGGTATAACAAAGTATATAATTGTAAAGTATCTTTCAAGTTTTTTCCTTCAATTCTAACACTTTTAGAAACTGCAACACTAAACATATTCACCAATGTCTTCAAAAAATATGAATTAGCTCAAATTTCAAATGAAAGTTTTCTCAATATAGGGTCAACTTCAAGGAGTGTTTCTTGAAATGACAGTAAATTACAAGCTGTTTCAAACTGCATTAAAAAAAGTAATTTTGAAATCCAACTTTCCACTTGTTGCTTAAAAATATGTAACTACAATAAAAAATTCTTATTGTTTCCCAAGTTATGTAGCCAGGAAGGTATGCCTGGGAGCGCACTGTCCATGGGTTCAGTTTCTTTGGTAAAAGGAGGCTGGTCCTTGTCTCTTCCAGTTCCACAGTGTGCACGAATAAACGAAATACTGAAACTGGAGGGCAACCGAGTCCAGGGTCCGTGCTGCCTGCCTATCACCACTCAGCCAAAAAACAGAGACAGGAATTGTATTAAAATTACGCTTTTATTAATACCAAAGACTAGCAGTCTGAGAAGGTGAAAATCCTAACATCTACCGTACCTTGAGCTTTCAGAATAAAGTTTATATAGGGGAAACGTGGAAGCCTGGGAGGGGGAAATTCCTGCTGTTTCCCAACAGAGGAGCTGAAAAGGAAGTCCCCAGCTCCTTCTCAAGCTGGTTCCTTTGTTCCAGTGTTCTCGGGCTGTACATTGCTCAAACTGTTTAGCCTTGTTTAATTTTCTTTACTCAGTTTCCCCATTCCACTTCCCCAGAAATTTTCCTAGATTCTTAATATCCTGCTTCAGTCATACCATCAATATTTTTAGGAACCTATCACGTGCAGGCTACCCTTGCTGAGTGGTGGGCTATTTAATTGGCAGACTAAGTATGTGCTACACGCCCACGCAGAAAGAAAAAAAAGGATAAAAATATAAAAAAACACTCATGGAGAGGAGAACCCCAACCATTTCGTAGGCCTTCCCTACACCTATCTCATGGTTTCGTAGGGTCTCTATTTTAATTACAACATGGGAGAGGCTAATTTTTGCTCCGGAGCCAGGCCTCCAAAGCAACTACAAAGGCCGTAGAGACCAGGCCACGCAGAGATTCGGCAGGGCCGACCACTCTAGCCCCGCGCCTGACCCAAGTAGGCTAAAAGGCGGGCTTCGATACTAGGACGCGAGGGAGTGTCCACAACCAGGCCCACCTCCCTCAAAATCTCCCTTGGCTAATAATACCGGAGACAAGTAGTACCATGGCTGCCTTCGCGTCCCGGGCAAAGACGAACTGGCCAATGCGCTCCTTTTCCTCAGGCTGGATCGATCGAACTGCGAGCAGCCATTCTGCTCGGCTCGGCAGCCAGGTGCCGCAGGAAAACGCCCAGCGCACGCCCTCCATGGCTGAAACCAAGCAGAACCGCCTGGCGTGGTGAACCATACACTGAAGACGAGGATCGCCGCCACCAAGACTTGATTGCGCCCTCCTACCCGGCGTGTGTGCGGAGAGGGCGGAGCATCGCGTACGTTCTAGGGCACGTTTGCCTTCTGACCCCTCACATCCCCGCCCCCAACACCACCGCCTCCTCCTCTAGAAGGAAGCGGCTGGGGCGGTGGACGGAGACCCGCCTCTGCGCTTTGCGGCAACGTGTAACGTCACGTGGGGCGGTGCTTCGGTGGCGAGAGAAAGGAGGGACCAAGACCCAGAGCGGACAGTTAACGCCACTCACACTTGGAAAAGAGCTAACGGGACAGCAGTGCAAGCCAATCGTAATCAGTCTTCTGGAGGCTGAGAGACTGGGGTGGAGACTTCGGATACTGCGGTTGCAGGTGCGTGATCTCTGGGGTCTCAGGGCAGAGTGGGATGATAGCATCCTAATCCTGGAAGCTAGGATCGGCCCCTGTGACACACCAAAGAGAGGATTCCGTGCCGCTCCTTCTTGTTCGGGATGGGAGAGGTTCCCGCGTCTGAGAAGGGACTGCATGGTGCCCTTTGGAGTTGTGCTTCCTCTAGGGTCGAGTTGACTTCCTCCGCCAACCCCCAGCCCCTTAGGTCAAACCTTTCCGCTCACCTAGGACACTTCCTATACCCCTAGGTGCCGCCCACCCTGAATCCCGCTTTCCAAGATTGGGCCGAGACGCTGCCCACAGTGCGGGGCGTCTGCCCCGCCTGAAGCAAAGGCTGCCCGCGAGCTGCTGGGCTAACGCTGATCCTTTGTTCTCATCACCAAGGGACTCAGGCGCCGTTTTGCGGTGGCCAAGCCTGGACCAAAACCCTCGGAAGAAAACGGGATTCTCTTGTTGAGACACCAGTGGTTACACCGTATCACAGGTCCTTGCTCTAAAAGTGTCGGAAGTTAAATAACTTAAGCAGCCTTTCGGAATTACTCTGTGCCTTCGCTCAGTTGTTTTTATTGATGTCTCTTGTTTTCATAGTTGTGCCACGTAGACTGTAGGTGACTTTTATAAAAGACCTAGTGATCAAAGCCCCTTCCAGGTTTTGGTCCAGAGAAAAGTCGATCTCTGCAGATAAATGTAAGTGCCTAACTTTGTGGTAGATTAAATGCTATATCATTGTGGGAATCAGGTTCTTTTCTTCCTTTGGCTGCCAAGGAATTTCAATTCAAGGCCAGCATTAGTAATTAACAGTTATCTGTGGATTATCTTCATGCTCTTTAACATGGGTTATATATATACTGTTTTTATCTATATTCGTTTCCATTAGCTTTTCGTGATACCATGAGCCCCCTTCAATCCTTTGCAGGAAAACGGGATTTTGAACACACACATACACAAATCCTCAAAGGGCTGTAAAATGAATTACTGGCTTTAGATATTAGTTTAGTTAGTGGTATAAAAGTCTGTGCCAGGAGCTATATTTAAGGTCTACTTATCACCTGCAGAGAGTTTACAATCTGACAAAGCAAAAAAAAAAAAAAACCGTACAAAAAAGCTACATAAGAATAAATATAAAGATATGTGAAGTATAAGGTACTACTAACCTTTCAGTAGGGTGAAAGAAGGAAACTTGATTGTAGTGGGTTGAGATAACTGGAGGTGGAGTTAATATAGACGTCTTTAAAGAAGTTTTCTGCATTTGGGAGTAGAAAGTGGGATGATAGCTAGAGGGGAATAAAAGATCAAAGGATATATTTTTGTTTGATGTTTGTTTAAAGATGGGAGATACTAAAATTTGTACACTGATAGAAAATGTTCAGTAGAGTGGGTGAAATTGTTGAGGTAAGCAGAGAGTAGGGGTGTGTGTGTGTGTGTGTGTGTGTGTGTGTATCTATCTGTGTTCACCACTCTAAATTGTATTCCAGAGTGGAGGACCATGCCTTTATTGTTTCTGGCTATATGCCCAGTATCTGGAATAGTGCTTGCCACATTAATAGCTACTCTATAACCTTTTTAATATATGTTGAATAAATGAATGACTTGGACTCTATTTCTCTTTCCTTCTTTTAATTCATTCTGCAAACATCAGATACTTAAAAATATAAAAAAAGATCATGTCACTGTCCAGTTCAAAGTCTTCTGTGGTCCCAATTGCACTTAAAATAAAATTCCAGGTTCTTGTGGCCCGTGGGATCCTGCATGAGGCAGTACTGGCCTCCTACAGCCCTATTTCACCAACATCCTTGCTTGCTCTAATTCCATTTCAGCAATGATAGTCCTCTTTCATTTTTTATAAAATGAAGGACCCTTTTCTCTCTTTAGGGCTTTATATGTGATTTTGTTCAGCAACCCCTTATCTTCTTGTCATTATTGTGTCAATTTAAATGACACTTTGTCAGAACAGCTCTCTCTCCCTAATATTGTAATAGATGAGAACAAGGACCCGGGAGTCAGACTGTCTGGGTTTACATCCCAGCTCCCTACTTATTTGCTATGTGACCTTGGGTAAATTAGTTAAATTCTCAAAGCCTCATTTTCCCTGTGTGTAAAATGAGGACAATAGTGATATCTATTTTACATAGTTGTTTTGAAGATTTAAAGAGTATATAAAGCATGCAGTACAGAACCTGATGTGAAACACTGTGTAAGTGTTCACTGTTAACCATTATTATTATCTGAAGTGAGTAGAGTATACCCCCAGCAGAGTTCATTTTTATTTCCATTTTCCAGTTGTTTCTTCATAGTATTTATAAGTTTATGATTTGTCAGTCTTCTAAATACTAAACACTAAGAAAGCAGGGATCATATCTGATTTATTCTCTATGCTATCTCTAGTGCCTAATTCAATACTTGGCATATATTTAGCACTCTGTAAGAAATATTGGCTAGAATAGGCCAGAAATCATGTTCTATATTGAAACATCAGTTGCCAAATTAATGTTACTGCAAGACCCAATGAAATCAAAGCCCAGATTAGTCACGGCATAGCTTTACTTTTGACATTTTACTTATATAAAGTGGGATTTTCATTTTTGTCATTACATCAAAGGCTTGATTCTTAGGCTTGATTCTTGGGCTTTTATTGATTCAATTCTGTAAGTCAAATTTTAATGGAAGATACTAAGCAGCAAGAAAATAGTAATTTTGAAAATTGATTCAATGTTTTGAAGTAGAAGGTGAGATGAAGCTGAGATGCAATCTTACAAGATATACCATGGCCCCTGGCTGATGTAGCTCAGTGGATTGAGCAAGGACTGTGAAACAATGTGGTTTCGAGTTGATTCCCAGTCAGGGCACGTGCCTGGGTTGTGGGCCAGGTCCCCAGTAGGGGGCATGTGAGAGGCAACCACACATTGTTTCTTTCCCTTTCTTTCTCTCTCCCTTATTCTGTCTAAAAATAAATAAATACAATCTTAAAAAATAAAACAAAATATACCATGGTTGTATGTGCTACTGAGAAAGAAGATGCATTTTAACTATGACAACATTTTATCACTTTTAATTTTTCATATTTATGGAAAGCCCTTTGTAAAATAATATCACCCTAGTACATAAATATGAAGAAAATATAAGTAAAATTATTTGTGATGCTCTTATAACTTCTTCACATTCATAGTCTTTTTAACTCTTCTAACTCACTTTCAACTCAAAGTTTTTTTAAAAACATATTTTAGTGATTATGCTATTACAGTTCCATTTTCCCCCCTTTATTCCCCTCTACCCTGCACACCCCTCCCCACTTGCATTTCCCCCTTTAGTTCATGTCCATGGGTTGTCCATATGAGTTCTTTGGCTTCTACATTTTCTGTAATATTCTTAACCTCCCCCTGCCTATTTTCTACATACCATTTATGCTATTTATTCTCTGTACCTTTTCCCCCCCTCCCACTCCCTCACTATAACCCTCCATGTGATCTCCATTTCTGTGATTCTGGTCCTGTTCTAGTGGTTTTCTTATTTTTTTTAGGTTTGGTTGTTAATAGCTGTGAGTTTGTTGTCATTTTACTGTTCATATTTTTGATATTTTTCTTACATAAGTCCCTTCAACATTTCATATAATAAGGGCTGGGTGGTGATGAACTCCTTTAACTTGTCTTTATCTGGGAAGCACTTTATCTGCCCTTCCATTCTAAATGATAGCTTTGCTGGACAGAGTAATCTTGGATGTAGGTCCTTGCCTTTCATGACTTTGAAAACTTGTTTCCAGCCCCTTCTTGCCTGTAAGGTTTCTTTTGAGAAATCAGCTGATAGTCTAATGGGAACTCTTTTATGGGTAACTATCTCCTTTTCTCTTGCTGCTTTGAAGATTCTCTCCTTATCTTTAAGGAGATTACCCTCTCAGGTAATGTAATTATGATGTGCCTTGGTGTGTTCCTCTTTGGGTCCAGATTCTTTGAGACTCTCTGAGCTTCCTGGACTTCCTGAAAGTCTATTTCCTTTGCCAGATTGGGGAAGTTCTCTTTTATTATTTTTTCAAATAAGTTTTCAATTTCTTGGTCTTCCTCTTCTCCTTCTGGCACCCCTATGATTCGGATGTTGGAACATTTAAAGATGTCCTGGAGGTTCCTAAGCCTCTCCTCATTTTTGTGATTTCTTGTTTCTTCATTCTGTTCTGGTTGAATGTTTCTTTCTTCTTTCTGGTCTACACCATTGATTTGAGTCCCGGTTTCCTTCCCTTCACTGTTGGTTCTCTGTACATTTTCCTTTATTTCACTTAGCATAGCCTTCATTTTTTCCTCTAATTTGCAACCATATTCAACCAATTCTGTGAGGATCCTGATTACCAGTGTTTTGAACTCTGCATCTGATAGGTTGGCTATTTCTTCATCACTTAGTTGTATTTTTTCTGGAGTTTTGGACTGTTCTTTCATTTGGACCATTTTTTTTCTGTCTCTGCATGCCTATTAGTAGTGAGGGGTGGAGCCTTAGGTGTTCATCAGGGCAGGGCAACCCACATGGCTGCGTTGTGATGTAGGGGAGTGGTCCAAGAAAGAAAAGTGCTGCTTGCTCCACTCTCTTCCAGTTTCAGTCACTTCTTCAGCTACCCACAATCAAAGTGGGCCCCTCCAGTGTTGATTCCCGGGTACATGGGTTTGTGTATGTTCTAGGACCCTGTGGGTCTCTCCAACGAACTCTCCTGTGAGGCTGGGAGATTTTCCTGATATCACCTCAACCCCCACAGGGTTTTTAAGTCAGAGGTTTGAGGCTTTATTTCCCAGTGCTGGAACCCTGGGTTTTGAGGTCTGTCTCATTCCCTAGTTGTTCCTCCTGGTTTATCCACACACAAATGTCAGACTGCCCAGTCCTCAAGCTGCTGGCTCACCTGCTCTGCCAGCTGCTGCCTTACTGCAGTCCTGTCCTTCTGGCTGTCCATCTTCACCCCTCCTACCAGTCTGGATGAATGTTTCTTCTTTAGTTCCTTGGTTGTTGGACTTCCATACAGTTCAATTTGTTTTTTAAAACTTCCTTCAGTTCTGGTTGTTTTTTGTTTTTAAATTTGTTGTCCTTCTTTTGGTTGTACGAGGAGGCACACAGTGTCTACCTCTGCCTCTATCTTGGCCGGAAGTCAGCTCAAAGTCTTGATGTCCCTGTGTTTCCATCTGTTCTCTGCTATCAAGAACATTAATGATGTATCATTTCTTAAATAAGTGACTGTCATTATCTATCTCCAAGGTTTTCTTTCAAGACACTGATACCCATTCTTCACACTTTGATGCATGCACACATAATGTACACATAATGACAAATATGTCGTAACTGCTACTTGACCAAGAGTGATTTTAAGATATGTATCAATTTTAGATAAATGTTAAAAAATATGCCTTCAAATTAGTGAAATATGATATTGGATTTGCAGAATCTTTGGAGGAAAAATAGTGCCTTACAGATTTTTTACCAAGAATTAAAATGTTTCTGGCTAAGCATGTATTATTGATTTTAACCATTAATATTTGCATACCATTTGACAATATTTAATGTTCATGATATCACTTACACATTACAGTACAGTGTAACTTGTGTGTCCACTTGGCTGAAGAGCAAGCCAGACCCTCAGAGAGCCTCAAGAGGAGTCCTTAGTAATTGATGGGCCATTTAGAACCCTTACTCAAACAAAATGTAAGAATGTAAATTTTAGC